TGACTGACTGTAGCAAGCTGTTTTCCATTACTCCAACACTGACTGACTGTAGCAAGCTGTTTTACCATTCCATTACTCCAACACTGACTGACTGTAGCAAGCTGTTTTACCATTCCATTACTCCAACACTGACTGACTGTAGCAAGCTGTTTTACCATTCCATTACTCCAACACTGACTGACTGTAGCAAGCTGTTTTACCATTCCATTACTCCAACACTGACTGACTGTAGCAAGCTGTTTTACCATTCCATTACTCCAACACTGACTGACTGTAGCAAGCTGTTTTACCATTCCATTACTCCAACACTGACTGACTGTAGCGAGCTGTTTTACCATTCCATTACTCCAACACTGACTGACTGTAGCAAGCTGTTTTACCATTCCATTACTGCAACACTGACTGACTGTAGCAAGCTGTTTTACCATTCCATTACTCCAACACTGACTGACTGTAGCAAGCTGTTCCATTACTCCAACACTGACTGACTGTAGCAAGCTGTTTTACCATTCCATTACTCCAACACTGACTGACTGTAGCAAGCTGTTTTACCATTCCATTACTCCAACACTGACTGACTGTAGCAAGCTGTTTTACCATTCCATTACTCCAACACTGACTGACTGTAGCAAGCTGTTTTCCATTACTCCAACACTGACTGACTGTAGCAAGCTGTTTTACCATTCCATTACTCCAACACTGACTGACTGTAGCAAGCTGTTTTACCATTCCATTACTCCAACACTGACTGACTGTAGCAAGCTGTTTTACCATTCCATTACTCCAACACTGACTGACTGTAGCAAGCTGTTTTACCATTCCATTACTCCATCACTGACTGACTGTAGCAAGCTGTTTTACCATTCCATTACTCCAACACTGACTGACTGTAGCAAGCTGTTTTACCATTCCATTACTCCAACACCGACTGACTGTAGCAAGCTGTTTTACCATTCCATTACTCCAACACTGACTGACTGTAGCAAGCTGTTTTACCATTCCATTACTCCAACACTGACTGACTGTAGCAAGCTGTTTTACCATTCCATTACTCCAACACCGACTGACTGTAGCAAGCTGTTCCATTACTCCAACACTGACTGTCATTTTGCAATCGTCACCTATACTGCAGATCAAGAGGTGAGAAACAGAATGGAACAAAACAACTTCTGAGACTGAAGAAACATCTTTAGGATGTTGAACTGAATGATCAACAATGGCCCACTGTAGACAGGATGCATTTCCTGTACACTGCACCGTTTATGTGGATCCACATTAAAGCTCAACTGTCTGCCAATCCTGGATGCTGCCAATCTAGTTTCTGTTAGTCTGGAAAAAAGACTAGCTGCCATTTTCTGTTTTCTTATTTCACCCAGGAACTAAAATCAATGAGCTGAAGTGAAGAGGAACCAGCACCACAGAGTGAGATCCAGTCTTCAGAGTGAGATACAGTCTTCAGAGTGAGATACAGTCTTCAGAGTGAGATACAGTCTTTAGAGTGAGATACAGTCTTCAGAGTGAGATACAGTCTTCAGAGTGAGATACAGTCTTCAGAGTGAGATACAGTCTTCAGAGTGAGATACAGTCTTCAGAGTGAGATACAGTCTTCAGAGTGAGATACAGTCTTCCATTGTCGTGGAAAGGAGAATGAAGTCAGAGGCATACGAGCACAGACATGCAGGACACACACACACACACACACACACACATACACACACACTTACATCTTCGTCAGAGCCAGGGTTGCGGAGTGTGACTGACACCAAAGGAGAAGGCGTAGCGATGGGGGCGGGCCTCTCTTGGGTCAGTGTTGGCATGGTAACCAGGTGCCCGGTGACTGCCTGTGGCGTGTGGATCTGTAGCACCCGGGCCGGCTGGCACAGCACCATCGGACCACCTGGTAGGAGGGGACAGACAACACTCAGATTACAGTGCCTTGCAAAAGTATTCATCCCCCTTGGCGTTTTTCCTATTTTCTTGCACAACCTGTAATTTATATGGATTTTTATTTGGACTTCATGTAATGGACATACACAAAATAGTCCAAATTGGTGAAGTGAAATGAAAAAAAAATAACTTGTTTAAAAAAAATGCTAAAAAATAAATAACGGAAAAGTGGTGCATGCATATGTATTCACCCCCTTTGCTATGAAGCCCCTAAATAAGATCTGGTGCAACCAATTACCTTCAGAAGTCACAGAATTAGTTAAATAAAGTCTACCTGTGTGCAATCTAAGTGTCACGTGATCTGTCACATGATCTCAGTATATATACACCTGTTCTGTTATGAAAGTCTGCAACACCACTAAGCAAGGGGCACCACCAAGCAAGCGGCACCATGAAGACCAAGGAGCTCTCCAAACAGGTCAGGGACAAAGTTGTGGAGAAGTACAGATCAGGGTTGGGCTATAAAAAAATATCAGAAACTTTGAACATCCCACGGAGCACCATTAAATCCATTATAAAACAATTGAAAGAATATGGCACCACAACAAACCTGCCAAGAGAGGGCCGCCCACCAAAACTCACGGACCAGGCAAGGAGGGCATTAATCAGAGAGGCAGCAAAGAGACCAAAGATAACCCTGAAGGAGCTGCAAAGCTCCACAGCGGAGATTGGAGTATCTGTCCATAGGACCACTTTAAGCCGCACACTCCACAGAGCTGGGCTTTATGGAAGAGTGGCCAGAAAAAAGCCATTGCTTAAAGAAAGAAATAAGCAAACAAAAGGCATGTGGGAGACTCCCCAAACATATGGAAGAAGGTACTCTGGTCAGATGAGACTAAAATTGAGCTTTTTGGCCATCAAGGAAAACACTATGTCTGGCGCAAACCCAACACCTCTCATCACCCCGAGAACACCATCCCCACAGTGAAGCATGGTGGTGGCAGCATCATGCTGTGGGGATGTTTTTCATCGGCAGGGACTGGGAAACTGGTCAGAATTGAACGAATGATGGATGGAGCTAAATACAGGGAAATTCTTGAGGGAAACCTGTTTCAGTCTTCCAGAGATTTGCCCCGTGTAGCTCAGTTGGTAGAGCATGGCGCTTGCAACGCCAGGGTTGTGGGTTCGATTCCCACGGGGGGCCAGTATGAAAATGTATGCACTCACTAACTGTAAGTCACTCTGGATAAGAGCGTCTGCTAAATGACTAAAATGTCAAATGTAATTTGAGACTGGGACAGAGGTTCACCTTCCAGCAGGACAATGACCCTAAGCATACTGCTAAAGCAACACTTGAGTGGTTTAAGGGGAAACATTTAAATGTCTTGGAATGGCCTAGTCAAAGCCCAGACCTCAATCCAATTGAGAATCTGTGGTATGACTTAAAGATTGCTGTACACCAGCGGAACCCATCCAACTTGAAGGAGCTGGAGCAGTTTTTCCTTGAAGAATGGGCAAAAATCCCAGTGGCTAGATGTGCCAAGCTTATAGAGACATATCCCAAGAGACTTGCAGCTGTAATCACTGCAAAAGGTGGCTCTACAAAGTATTGACTTTGGGGGGGTGAATAGTTATGCACGTTCAAGTTTTCTGTTTTTTAAAATCTTATTTCTTGTTTGTTTCACAATAAAAAATATTTTGCATCTTCAAAGTGGTACGCATGTTGTGTAAATAAAATGATACAAACCCCCAAAAAATCCATTTTAATTCCACGTTGTAAGGCAACAAAATAGGAAAAATGCCAAGGGGGGTGAATACATTCACAAGCCACTGTATATACTGTACAGAGACAGGAATAGTGACCTTCATTGAGCTGTAATTAAATAATAAGCGGTGTGTTTGTGTGTGTGTGTTTATTCCTCGCCAGTCACTAACCACAAAAACATCAAAGCACTTGGTCACCTGTGACAGCTGGTAGTCAGTCTGGCTATTATCAGCAGTCCCCTTTCCCCAGTGGTACCATCTGGTCTGTCTCTTAAAGCGGTCCCCCTTCCCCAGTGGTACTGTCTGGTCTGTCTCTTAAAGCGGTCCCCCTTCCCCAGTGGTACCATCTGGTCTGTCTCTTAAAGCGGTCCCCTTTCCCCAGTGGTACCATCTGGTCTGTCTCTTAAAGCGGTCCCCTTTCCCCAGTGGTACTATCTGGTCTGTCTCTTAAAGCGGTCCCCCTTCCCCAGTGGTACTGTCTGGTCTGTCTCTTAAAGCGGTCCCCCTTCCCCAGTGGTACTGTCTGGTCTGTCTCTTAAAGCGGTCCCCCTTCCCCAGTGGTACCATCTGGTCTGTCTCTTAAAGCGGTCCCCCTTCCCAGTGGTACATCTGGTCTGTCTCTTAAAGCGGTCCCCCTTCCCCAGTGGTACGTCTGGTCTGTCTCTTAAAGCGGTCCCCCTTCCCCAGTGGTACTGTCTGGTCTGTCTCTTAAAGCGGTCCCCCTTCCCCAGTGGTACTGTCTGTGCACAGTGCACCCAGAGCTCCTTCTACCCTCTGACCTCTCTGCAACCCTGCATTAACCCCTGAGCTTTAATAGAACTCCCTTCTCCCCACCTGTAGGAGCTAACTGGACAGATGTTAGCCATCAGGATCAATGGCCTGTCACATTCCTCACCTCCCCGTCTGTGTGTGTGTCTGTGTGTGTGTCTGTGTGTCTGAGTGTGTGTCTGTCTGTGTGTGTGTGTGTGTGTGTGTGTGTCTGTGTCTCTGTGTGTGTGTGTGTGTCTGTGTGTCTCTGTGTCTGTGTGTCTCTGTGTGTGTGTGTGTGTGTATGTGTGTATGTGTGTCTGTGTGTCTGTCTGTGTGTCTGTGTGTGTGTGTCTCTGTGTGTGTGTGTGTGTGTGTGTGTGTGTGTGTGTGTGTGTGTGTGTGTGTGTATGTGTGTCTGTGTGTCTGTCTGTGTCTGTGTGTCTGTGTGTGTGTGTGTGTGTGTACATGATTAGATTTCTCAATAGTTGTATTGCGGTCTCACGGTAATATATCCTGTTGTTATACAATACTATGCATGTTTATAAACACCATACCCATGGTTTACATCTGTGGCCCACAGAGCAGTGTCAAACCCGAGGCTAACCCACTCTCTGTGCCAGGAACCAACCCTCACACACAAACACTGGCACAGCACCTCCCCTCTGTCTCCTGCTAAATGACCTGTCAGTGTTAATGGTGATGAGATTCGACTAAAAGCTACATCGCTGATGAAGGAACGCGGACGAGATGAGGACTGCTTCCTTTAGCAAGTCAAATGAGGAGAAGATCTAGAGCAGAGCTCTCCAACCCTGTAGAGCTTCCAAATCAAATCAAGCTTTATTTATACAGTACATTTCAGACATGGATTGCAACACAATGCGCTTCACAGGAAAAATATATAAAAACAATGAAAATAAAAACTGAAATATTCACTACACAACAAACATCAAAGGATAAAAAACAAAATAATAACAAAAACTGAACGACTAAAAAGCCCCCTGAGGAAAAGCAAAGCTAAGGTACGTTTTAAGATCTCTTAAATACGTCCATAGTTTTGGCCCCCCTCTGGCAGGCTATTCCAGGGGCTGGGGGCATAATAACTAAAGGATGCCTCTCCATGCCTCTTGGTCCTAGGCTGTGGGATAGTTAAAAGGCCAGTGGTAGAGGACCTGAGGGACCTACTGGGTACATAACTTAAAAGCATGTCTGACGTGTATTGGGGTGCACAATCATGGATTGATTTAAAAATCAATGGAATAATCTTATAATGAATTCTAAAACTCACAGGCAGCCAGTGCAGAGACCTTAAAACAGGTGTAATGTGTGCTCTCCGTCTGGTCTTGGTCAGTACCCGTACTGCAGCATTCTGTATGTTTTGCAGTTGACCAATGGCTTTCTTGGGTAGACCAGACAGGAGAGCATTACAGTAGTCAAGCCTGCTTGTAATTAAAGCATGGATGAGTCTCTCTGTATCAGCCTGAGAGAGAAACGGCCGCACCTTGGCAATGTTCCTCAGGTGGTAAAGCAGCTATTTTGGTCACATTCCTGATGTTCAGAATCTAAAATAACACTTAGGTTTTTTACCAGATTCTCTCTCTGTACTTTGGCTCAAACAATAAGTACCTCGGTCTTGTCTTGATTTAGCTGGAGGAAGTTGTGAGCCATCTAAGTATTTAAATCACTAACAGTCTAATAATTTATCTGTCGAGCTAGAATCCTCCGGTGACGCAGAAATGTAAAGTTGTGTATCGTCGGTGAAGCAGTGAAAATCAATGCTGTGCTTTCTGATAACGCTGCCTAGCGGTAACAAATATCAACTGAACAGTAACTGACCCAAAATCTAACCTTGTGGAACGCCACATGTGGTCCACATGTGGTCCTCTGTAGCTCAGCTGGTAGAGCACGGCGCTTGTAACGCCAAGGTAGTGGGTTCGATCCCCGGGACCACCCATACACAAAAATTTATGCACGCATGACTGTAAGTCGCTTTGGATAAAAGCGTCTGCTAAATGGCATATTATTATTATTATTATTATATCTATTTTCTCAGAGTTATGTTCCACAAAGGTAACAAAAAACTCTCGACCCGTTAAACCAATTTAAACCTGGACTGGAGAGGTTAATGCTACGCTACAGGACTGTTTTGCTAGCACAGACTGGAATATGTTCCGGGATTCTTCCGATGGCATTGAGGAGTACACCACATCAGTCATCAATAAGTGCATCGATGACGTCGTCCCCACAGTGACCGTACGTACATACCCCAACCAGAAGCCATGGATTACAGGCAACATCCGCACTGAGCTAAAGGGTAGAGCTGCTGCTTTCAAGGAGCGGGACTCTAACCCGGACGCTTATAAGAAATCCCGCTATGCCCTCCGACGAACCATCAAACAGGCAAAGAGTCAATACAGGACTAAGATTGAACTAAGATTGAATCGTATTACACCGGCTCTGACGCTCGTCGGATGTGGCAGGGCTTGCAAACTATTACAGACTACAAAGGGAAGCACAGCCGCAAGCTGCCCAGTGACACAAGCCTACCAGACGAGCTAAACCACTTCTATGCTCGCTTCGAGGCAAGCAACACTGAAACATGCATGACAGCATCAGCTGTTCCGGACGACTGTGTGATCACGCTCTCCGTAGCCGATGTGAGTAAGACCTTTAAGCAGGTCAACATTCACAAGGCCGCGGGGCCAGACGGATTACCAGGACGTGTACTTCGAGCATGGATTGACCCACTGGCAAGTGTCTTCACCGACATTTTCAACCTCTCCCTGTTTGAGTCTGTAATACCAACATGTTTCAAGCAGACCACCATAGTCCCTGTGCCCAAGAACACTAAGGTAACCTGCCTAAATGACTACCAACCTGTAGCACTCACGTCATATCACCCCAACAGATGATGCAATCTCTATTGCGCTCCACACTGCTCTTTCACACCTGGACAAAAGGAACACCTATGTGAGAATGCTATTCATTGACTACAGCTCAGCGTTCAACACCATAGTGCCCTCAAAGCTCATCACTAAGCTAAGGACCCTGGGACTAAACACCTCCCTCTGCAACTGGATCCTGGTCTTCCTGACGGGCCGCCCTCAGGTGGTAAGGGTAGGTAACAACACATCCGCCACGCTGATCCTGAACACGGGGGCCCCTCAGGGGTGCGTGCTCAGTCCCCTCCTGTACTCCCTGTTCACTCATGACTGCATGGCCAGGCACAACTCCAACACCATCATTAGGTACCATCATAACAGTGGTAGGCCTGATCACCGACAACGACGAGACAGCCTATAGGGAGGAGGTCAGAGACCTGGCCGTGTGGTGCCAGCATAACAACCTCTCCCTCAACGTGATCAAGACAAAGGAGATTATTGTGGACTACAGGAAAAAGAAGAGGACCGAGCACGCCCCCCATTCTCATCGACGGGGCTGTAGTGGAGCAGGTTGAGAGCTTCAAGTTCCTTGGTGTCCACATCACCAACAAACTAACATGGTCCAAGCACACCAAGACAGTCATGAAGAGGGCACGACAACATTCCCCCCAAGGAGGCTGAAAAGATTTGGCATGGGGTCCTCAGATCCTCAAAACGTTCTACAGCTGCACCATCGAGAGAATCCTGACTGGTTGCATCACTGCCTGGTATGGCAACTGCTCGGCCTCCGACCGCAGGGCACTACAGAGGGTAGTGCGTACAGCCCAGTACATCACTGGGGCCAAGCTTCCTGCCATCCAGGGACCCTCTATACCAGGTGGTGTCAGAGGAAGGCCCAAAGACTCCAGCCAACCCTAGTCCATAGACTGGTTCTCTCTGCTACCGCACGGCAAGCGGTGACAGGAGTGCAAGTCTAGGTCCAAGAGGCTTCTAAACAGCATCTAGAATGGCTACCCAGACTATTGCACTGTTCCACCCCTCTTTTAGTGTGCTTCTCGTTATACTATGCATAGTCACTTAAAACTTACCTACATGTAATATTACTAAATACCTCGACTAACTCCTGCACTGACTCGGTACGGCACCCCTGGATATAACTCATATGTCTTTTGCTGTGCTCTTAATACTAGGCTATTTGCACATTAATATGTCTTTTTGATGTGGGCACTTAACTCCATTGTTGTGGTTGTACTAGGCACATATAACTCCATAGTGTCCTTGCGTGTAGGCTAGGGCACTATAACTCCATAGTGTCCTTGGTGGTAGGCTAGGGCATAACTCATAGTGTCCTTGGTGGTAGGTAGGAAAAACTCCATAGGTCCTTGCGTGGTAGGCTAGGCACATATAACTCCATAGTGTCTTGTGGAAAGGCTAGGGCAATATAACTCCATAGTTGTCCTTGCGTGGAGGCTAGGGCACATAAACTCCATAGTGCTGCGTGGTAGGCTAGGGCAATATACTCAAGTTCTTTGGTCGTAGGCTAGGGCACATTAACTCCATAGTGCTTGCGTGGTAGGCTAGGCACATATAATCCATAGTGTCCTTGCGTGTAGGTAGGCAATATAAATCCATAGTGTCTTGCGGGTGGCTAGGGCACATAAACCATAAGTGTCCTGGTGGTAGGTGTAGGCACATATAATCATGGTCTTGCGTGTAGGCAGGGAAATAACTCCATAGTGTCCTTGCGTGGTAGGCTAGGGCACATATAACTCCATAGTGTCCTTGCGTGGTAGGCTAGGGCACATATAACTCCATAGTGTCCTTGCGTGGTAGGCTAGGGCACATATAACTCCATAGTGTCCTTGCGTGGTAGGCTAGGGCACATATAACTCCATAGTGTCTTTGCGTGGTAGGCTAGGGCACATATCAAACTTCTCATCAGGTCTTTCTTGATACCCAGCCTATTGTTTGTTATCTTATCTAAAAAATATTTCGCAAACTCATCAGATTTAGACGTGGAGGAAAGTTCACATACAGGAGGTTTGCGGGGGTAGGATTTCTCAGGCCATCAATGGTCGAGAAGAGCACTCTCAAATTATTCAGATTATTAGTGATCAAATTAGAAAAATGAGCCCGTCTGGCATTGATAATTGCCTTGTGTTAGACAGTGCATTCTGAAAGTATTCAGACTCCTTGACTTTTTCCACACTTTGTTACGTTACAGCCTTATTCTAAAATGTATTCAATTTACACACAATGCCCCATAATGACAAAGCAAAAACTGGTTTTTATAAATTTTTGCTAATTATAAAATAAATAACGGAAATATTACATTTACATAAGTATTCACACCCTTTACTTAGTACTTTGTTGAAGCACCTTTGGCAGCGACTACAGCCTCGAGTCTTCTTGGGTATGACGCTACAAGCTTGGCACACCTGTATTTGGGGAGTTTCTTCCATTCTCCTCTGCAGATCCTCTCAAGTTCTGTCAGGTTGGATGGGGAGCGTCGCTGCACAGCTATTTTCAGGTCTCTCCAGAGATGTTAGATCGAGTTCAAGTCCGGGCTCTGGCTGGGCCACTCAAGGACATTCAGAGACTTGCCCCGAAGCCACTCCTGCATTGTCTTGGCTGTGTGCTTAGGGTCGTTGTCCTGTTGGAAGGTGAAACTTCGCCCCAGTCTGAGGTTCTGAGCACTCTGGAGCAGGTTTTCATCAAGGATCTCTCTGTACTTTGCTCCGTTCATCTTTCCCTTGATCCTGACTAGTCTCCCAGTCCCTGCCGCTGAAAAACATCCCCACAGCATGATGCTGCCACCACCATGCTTCACTGTAGAGATGGTGCCAGGTTTCCTCCAGACGTGACACTTGGCATTCAGGCCAAAGAGTTCAATCTTGGTTTCATCAGACCAGAGAATATTGTTTCTCATGTTCTGAGAGTCTTTAGGTGGCTTTTGGCAAACTCCAAGCGGGCTGTCATGTGCCTTTTACTGAGGAGTGTCTTCCGTCTGGCCACTCTACCATAAAGGCCTAATTGGTGGAGTGCTGCAGAGATGGTTGTCCTTCTGAAAGGTTCTCCCATCTCCACAGAGGAACTCTAGAGCTCTGTCAGAGTGACCATTGGGTTCTTGGTCACCTCCCTGACCAAGGCCCTTCTCCCCCGATTGCTCAGTTTGGCCGGGCGGCCAGCTCTAGGAAGAGTCTTGGTGGTTCTAAACTTCTTCCATTTAAGCATGATGGAGGACACTGTGTTCTTGGGGACCTTCAACGCTGCAGAAATGTTTTGGTAGCCTTCCCCAGATCTGTGCCTCGACACAATCCTGTCTCGGAGCTCTACGGACAATTCCTTCGACCTCATGGCTTGGTTTTTGCTCTGACATGCACTACCAACTGTGGGACCTTATATAGAGAGGTGTGTGCCTTTCCAAATCATGTCCAATCAATTGAATTTACCACAGGTGGATTCCAATCAAGTCGTAGAAACCTCTCAAGGATGATCAATGGAAACAGGATGCACCTGAGCTCAATTTCGAGTCTCATAGGAAAGGGTCTGAATACTTATGTAAATAAGGTATTTCTGTTTTAATTTTTATACATTTGCAAACATTTCTAAAAACCTGTTTTCGTTGTGTCATTATGGAGGTATTGTGTGTAGATTGATGAGGACATTTTTTTCTTTAATCCATTTTAGAATAATGCTGTAACTTAACAAAATTTGGAAAAAGGGAAGGGGTCTGCATACATTCTGAATGCACTGTATATGCCAAGTTGCTCTCTCAGAATATCATAATGGACCTGCAACTTTGACTTTCTCTAATTGATTTGTTTCCTCACTCATCCGTTTGGACGTGGCTTTTTTCAACCTTACTGGAGCTATGGCATCAATGGTTGCCCTTCATTTGCTAAAGTTATCAACTAAATCATCACAAGAGGAAGGCAGACTAGGTGATGTGTCTTGTTCATACACTCAATAAAATCTGTAGCAACTTCAGAGGTAAGATCGCGTTTCTTAATAATGCGTTCAGTATTCCCCTTTGCTATGGGCAACAAGGTAGTAAAAAATACACAGTGGTGATCAGATAAAGAAACATCAACAATAGAGAACATGTCAACAGAAAGCCCCTTGGTAACAACCAGGTCCATACTATGTCCGTGGTTATGGGTGGGCCCAGTAGCATGTTGGATAAAGTCCATAGAGCTCAAAAGATTAATAAATCCAATGGCCTTGGAGTCAGTCTCTTTGTCAACATGAATATTAAAATCGCCCAACACAATGATTTTTATCATAGTTCTCAAGGACTATAGACAATAGTTCAGATAAATCAGTAAAGAAAGTGGGGCAGTGCTTTGGTGGCCTATACAGGGTTATAGCCAGCACTGTTGGCTGACATTTAAACAGTATAGCATGATGCTGAAAAGACCCAAAGTCGCGTAATGAAATGTCCTTACGGCTGAGAGCCAGTAGAAATAGAGGCTGTCCCCCCACCCTTTTCCTCTTTTCTGATAGAGTATGAAAAGCTGTAGTCCGGGGGGTAAGCTTCAATAAGACTGTCACTACAGTCTGAAGACAGCCAAGTTTCAGTGGGAAACATGCAATCAACTTTGCGCTCAGTAATGAGGTCATTCACAAGAAAGGTTTTACTAGTGATTGCTCTAACATTTAAAAGCGCCATCTTCAATGAGTGTGGGCCACTCTGCCCCTGGGGCATCTGCCTCGAGGTAACCAATGGAATAACAACCAAATTATTAACGTTACAACCACGTTTTCTGACAGTCTCCAATCTATCAGAATGGTAGGATATGACAGTTTGTATAAACTCACTAGAAGACGGAGTTAGAGGAACATAAATTAGGTTACTCACAATGACCATGGTGCCATTTCTACGGGAGTTGATATGGTTTCCATGTCCTCTGTTGCTTATTCTGACAGGGAGAACTGGAGCGCTACCAGAACCTGTCCGTCAGTCTCTAAAACAGTTTGTGATGTTGCTGGAAACAATCCTGGAACCCCTGCGGTTAGGGTGAATCCTGTCTCTTTTTAAAAAGTGCTGGTTGCTCCCACAGCCAATCAAAAGGAGACATTCCTGTCGTTGCAAAGTTTCTTCAGGTACTCGTTTAGGGCAACGAGTCGGCTGAAACATTCTGAACCCCTTCTGTGTTTAAAAAAAATGTTTTGTAGAGCTCCCTCAGATCGCCTAAAGCGAAGGTCGTTAAGACCTACACTACCATTCAAACGTTAAAATAACATCAAATTGATCAGAAATACAGTATAGACATTGTTAATGTTGTAAATGGCTATTGTAGCTGGAAACGGCAGATTTTTTATGGAATATCTACATAGGCTTACAGAGGCCCATTATCAGCAACCATCAGTCCTGTGTTCCAATGGCACGTTGTGTTTGCTAATCCAAGTTTATCATTTTAAAAGGCTAATTGATCATTAGAAAACCCTTTTGCAATTACGTTAGCACAGCTGAAAACTGTTGTGCTGATTAAAGAAGCAATAAAACTGGCCTTCTTGAGACTAGTTGAGTTTGAGCATCAGCAATTGTGGGTTCGATTACAGGCTCAAAAACAAATAACTTTCTTCTGAAACTCGTCAGTCTATTCTTGTTCTGAGAAATGAAGGCTATTCCATGCGAGAAATTGCCAAGAAACTGAAGATCTTGTACAACGCTGTGTACTACTCCCTTCACAGAACAGCGCAAACTGGCTCTAACCAGAATAGAAAGAGGAGTGGGAGGCCCCGGTGCACAACTGAGCAAGAGGACAAATACATTAGAGTGTCTAGTTTGAGAAACAGATGCCTCACAGGTCCTCAACTGGCAGCTTCATTAAATAGTACCCGCAAAACACCAGTCTCAACGTCAACAGTGAAGAGGCGACTCCGGGATGCTGACCTTCTAGGCAGAGTTGCAAAGAAAAAGCCATATCTCAGACTGGCCAATAAAAAGAAAATATTAAGATGGGCAGATCAGGGCTCTCCAACCCCAGTTGTAACTAGCCTGACTCAGTTTATCAACCAGCTAATTGTCTAGAATCAGGTGCGCTAGATTAGGGTTGTAGTGAAAACCTATAGGATGGTAGCTCTACAGGAACAGGGTTGGAGAGCCCTGATCTAGAGAGAGAGTTCTATTCAAATGCCAAACTAAAAACAGGTTTTGATTGTGGTTCAAATTCACATTCAAGTCTACAGAGGTCAGATATTCCACAGTGTTGGTTTAGTCCCGGGCGGACTGTGACATAACTGTTTGTATTGGCCCAGACTCAGCTGAGGTAGAGGATCAGGTAGAGGAACAGATTGGTAACAGTCTGAATGAAACACAGGCTGGTGGGCCGAGGAAAGGAAACACTACTAAAACACTGACTCACACATGATTAAACCCAGATCCTAAATGTAGGGGCAACGAAAGTAGAGATAGGGTGACACCTGCTGGCCAACACACACACAACACCCTCCCAAACGCTCACCCAAAAACCTCCCTAATGCTTTAAAGATCGATTGCCCCTAAAAACCAACCAACGTGGCATCAATATGAGTCAGAAACATTTATTATAGAGTCATAATTGACTACAGAGTGTAAATAGGATAATTTAGGACGGATAAAAGTCAGTCTAGTCTAAAACTGAGTTTTGGAACCTCAGTGCGTCACAACGAGTAAATTAAGGTTGGGTTTGGATATACAATTATGTCAACAGATCATGCCCCCTTTTGCCAAGTGCCACGTGCAAATCTCCCCTCCGCCCACATCGCTTCCCTACTACACTGGCCGAGGTTGAACCGGACAATGGCCCATCACGTCATCGGGAGAACGCAGGGAGGGAGGATCGCCCTTCTCAAATCAAACAGTAAGCTAATCTGCTCCGCTCGGTCATGTTGTCAACAAGGCAGCGAGTTGCATTGTCCAGAAAACATACAACATCTCTTTCCCATAAAATAAGTGTTTGAATTTTAAAACTAGTTTTCATTGGGAAGGCAGATAACGTGTTTTTTTATCAAAAGCAGTCACTTCCATTCCATTCTAATTGAGTGTAATTTAGACTAAACAGTCACATTAGCCTCCGAGGAGCAACCCACTTCTAGAGCACAAATAAATATTGGCTGCAGCGGTGGTAGTATTAGCCAACTTTTGTCTGACTACAACAGTGTACTAACTAGCAGAAACAAACTTAAACCAACCCAGGGCCATAGCAAAACATGTCACAGTTGGTTGCGTAGTGTAACGGTGTCACCGGCCTGAATCGAATCCAATCTGGAGCCCGTCAGTCTACATCTGTAAAGCATAGATTTAGCTTCCAAACGAGATTACTTTTATTTCTCGAGCTGTGTTTATAATTGAGGTATGATGACAATCGTTGACCCTGTTTTTTCTGTTGGACGAAGTGCCAGACTGATCCTCGGGTCATGAACGGATGCCAGGACCTACCAGATGTAGTAAAAGGTGGGTATCATAACATGTCCGGCAATGTGATTGCGATGGTTTAGCCACCTCCAAAAATCATTTCATTGACTGTTCACTTGCTATTTACCACAGCTTGTTTACCACAGCTTGTTTACCACCTGCTTGTCAGGCAAGACCTCCGAATAAAAGTGTGTCATGCAACACAAGTGCCCTTGTGACACCTACTCCATTGTTGCCAGTCTCCCTCGACTCCTATGAAAAGGACATTCCATCATGAGGCCTCATGACACCTCAATTACCTCGACTACCCGGTACCCCAACACATTGACTCGGTACCGGTACCCCCTGTATATAGCCTCGCTTCTGTTATTTTACTGCTGCTCTTTAATTATTTGTTACTTCTTTTTTATTTATTTTTATTTTTATTAAATGTTTATTTTATACCCCTGAGGTGCCTTATTGCTATTATAAACTGTTTACCAATGTAATTAGAACAATAAAAATAAGTGTTTTGTCATACCCGTGGTATACCACGGCTGTCAGCCAATCAGCATTCAGGGCTCGAACCACCCAGTTTATAATTGTTATTATAAACTGGTTACACGTATAAATGAGAACAGTAAAAATAAATGTTTTGTCATACATGTGGTATACTGTCTCATATAACACGGCTTTCAGCATTCAGGGCTCCAACCACCCAGTATATAATGTGTATTATAGTGTAGTGAGTGCAGTTTTAGACTCACCTATAGGTGGCGCTGGCTGTATACTGACAGGGGCAGGTTTGACCGCAGCAGGGTGAGGCAGCAGGGTGGTCTGCAGGGGCTGGATGATGATGGTCTTGGTCTGGAGAGGGCCCGCAGCGTGGTGTGGCACGGCTGTTAGAACTGGTCTGGGCTGGATGGACACCTTGGGGGTGGGCTGGATAGGCCTCTTCACTGGCTGGGCTGGCTTGACTGTGAGAGTGGGAGACGGATCATAATTGATAACTGTTTCGATTTTTATGGCGCTTTTTTTCCAGATGCTCAAGGCACTTTGCGTTGTATGTTTCATAACAATTGGATAGAGATGCTCAAGGCACTTTGCGTTGTATGTATCATAACAATTGGAGAGACAAAGTATTTGGTCCATTGAAAGCGAATGTATTTGAACCAATAAACATCTCTGTTGTTTGGTTGTACTAATGTTTGGTTTGAGTCATCACCTCGCGTGGCCTGGCTGGTCCTCTTGGGGGCCCTCTTTGCCAGGGGCATGGGGGGCTCTGAGAAGCCGCTGGACTCGGAGCAGACAGAGACGGCAGGAGAGGGCTGGGGCTGAGGAGATAGGGCTAGATCATCCTGTAGAGGGCAGCAGAGAGACGGGGGTCATTATGCTTGACTACAGTATGAGGTTTTACAATACCTCCGAAAGGTCCAGCGTTTCCCCCATATGCATTTAGCAGCGGCGCACCACCACTGCTAAATTGTGGCCCCCCACTGCAAAAATTCAAAAATATTTTCGTTTTATAATGCCGATGTATAGATGTATGGCCAAGGAAGACGCCCATCCTCTGCCGAATATCTTGCTAAAAGGAATTACAAAGCTCTTGAAGACTGATGCCTCGGTAACATCCAAATATCTTTTGAGATGCAGGCACAAATGTCCTTGATCATTAAGGCAGGATAAATAAACATGTGCAGTGTAGGGTGAGAAGATCTAAGGTCCTCTTTTTGACACGCTGTGAAAACAACTGCCTGCTACATTATGTTAATTTGGCCAGAGTTGTCATCACCTCATTTTAACGAGGGGGCGGGGCCACACCTCTGGCAGACGGTGGATAATTAGTCTGACAAGGTGCTTCAGACATTCCTTAATGAGGTGCTCAAGTGTGTGTGTGTGTGTGGTGCGTGTGTGTGTGTGTGTGTGTGTGTGGATTGTGAGAGCAGATGGCAGAGGCAGCAACGTGTGTGATGGCACCACATGGGGACTAACACAGATGGTCCTAGACGCACACTGGGGAAATACCCACAGCCATACAAAATAGGCACATCAAACACATAAACGCAAAAAAAATGACCTACAGTGAAACACACTGAAGAGAGAGACAGGTGACTCACTTGTACGGAGTAAGGTGACAGGGCCTCTCGGGATGCAGGGGAGGGGACAGAGCTCATGGTATGGGCAGGAGAGAGAGAGTCCACACTCAGGTCGCCATCTGCAGACACAAGGACACAGAGCTCTTGTCAAGACGCTCACATTTCCATGAGAGAAATACTGGTACTGACAACATGTTTAAAAACAATTTTTTTGGGCCAATACAATATCACATTATACCATAGACATGATCAGACAGGTATTAGGAAATACCTGTGTAAGTGCTGCCTGTATCGGTGCTCCAGGGAGGCAGGTCGATGTCAAAGTCGAGGTCAGGGGCGTCGCCGGCCTTCGAGGGAAACAGAGCAGACACGTAATCACTTCCAATCACTGTACTTCACATTATGACGGTTCACTGTGAAACTGGTCTGTTGAGATTTTCTAAAGTGGAACTGACAGTGTTTTAGCAACATGGAATCTTATTAAAATCTGTTCATATACAGTACCAGTCAAACGTTTTTCTTTATTTTTTTTACTATTTTCTACATTGTAGAATAATAGTGAAGACATCAAAACTATGAAATAACACATATGGAATCATGTAGTAACCAAAAAAGTGTTAAACAAATCAAAATATATTTTATATTTGAGATTCTTCAAAGTAGCCACGCTTTGCCTTGATGACAGCTTTGCACACTCTTGGCATTCTCTCAACCAGCTTCACCTGGAATGCTTTTCCAACAGTCTTGAAGGAGTTCCCACATATGCTGAGCACTTGTTGGCTGCTTTTCCTTCACTCTGCGGTCCAACTCATCTCAATTGGGTTGAGGACGGGGGATTGTGGAGGCCAGGTCATCTGATGCAGCACTCCATCACTCTCCTTCTTTGTCAAATAGCCCTTACACAGCCTGGAGGAGTCTTCGGTCATTGTCCTGTTGAAAAACAAATGATTGTCCCACTAAGCCCAAACCAGATGGGTTGGCGTATCGCTGCAGAATGCTGTGGTAGCCGGGCTGGTTAAGTGTGCTTTGAATTCTAAATAAATCCCAGACAGTGTCACCAGCAAAGCACCCCCACACCATAACACCTCTTCCTCCATGCTTCACGGTGGGAAATACACATGCGGAGATCATCCGTTCACCTACACTGCGTCTCACAAAGACACATCGGTTGGAACCAAAAATCTCCAATTTGGTCTCCAGACCAAAGGTCTTATGTCCATTGCTCGTGTTTCTTGGCCCAAGCATGTCTCTTCTTATTATTGGTGTCCTTTAGTAGTGGTTTCTTTGCAGCAATTCGACCATGAAGGCCTGATTCACGCAGTCTCCTCTGAACAGTTGATGTTGAGATGTGTCTGTTACTTGAACTCTGTGAAGCACTTATTTGGGCTGCAATTTCTGAGGCTGGTAACTAATGAACTTATCCTCTGCAGCAGACGTAACTCTGGGTCTTCCTTTCCTGTGGCGGTCCTAATGAGAGCCAGTATTATCATAGCGCTTGATGGTTTTTGCGATTGCACTTGAAGAAAAACCCTTGAATGAGTAGGTGTGTCCAAACTTTTGACTGGTACTGTACAACCAAAGGAAGAATATGATGCTTTTTTTTTTCTTTGTACATTTTCTGACAAGCGAGCATTTAAATATGGTCATTTTCAGGTTTTCATACATAGAATGTTTGGTTATTACGTACAGTAAGGCATTAGTGAAAATTAAATAGCAATATCTCGATTTTTTCAAACCTATGGGCGATTCACGATATGTATATATATATATATATATATATATATATATATATATATATATATATATATATATCAATTTTTTATATGTTTTCTCTAAATAAGCGTTGTTGTACAATTAAAGGTAAAATACACTGCATTTCAAACAGTCAGCAATAATCTAATGAATTCAGGGCTTGTGAAATTATACCTAGGCTAGATATAAGCCTTCCACAGCCATAAGACCCACTCATAATTTAATGATTTTATCAAAATAGTTTAACCTCTTTTGTTGTTGTTGCAATAATCACAGATCTGGCTTTCAAGTCTGTCTATGAAAATGCAATTTTTTTGTTACAAATTTAACTAGAAAAATGCATAATGCACATTCACTAATAATGACTAACTTCTTGTAGCAGGCATTAGGCTATAGGAAATTAACACAGGTCTCAACAGGTCTCATCAACAACCTCTCAAGCCCACGTGCTAGTGATTAGCCAGCTAATCTTTATACACTGAACAAAAATATAAAACACAACATGTAAAGTTTTGGTCCCATGTTTCATGAGCTGAAACAAAATATCCCTGAAATGTTGTGCACAAATTTGTTTACATCCCTTTTAGTGAGCATTTCTCCTTTGCCAAGATGATCCATCCACCTGACAGGTGTGGCATATCAAGTAGCTGATTAAACAGCATGATCATTACACAGGTGCACCTTGTGCTGGGGACAATAAAAGGCCACTCTAAAATGTGCAGTTTTGTCACAGAACACAATGCCACAGATGTCTCAAATTTTGAGGGAGCGTGCAATTGGCATGTTGACTGCAGGAATGTCCACCAGAGCTGTTGCCAGAGAATTGAATGCTCATTTCTCTACCATAAGCCACCTTTATAAAACACAGACTAGACAGCTAGTATATAAAATACTGCTAGCGGTACCCCAAAGCCGCACGCGACAAACTAAGCATTCATTTTCCAGAATCAATGCTCATTGATACTCTCGTTTAATCAGTGTCTGCTCTGCACGCAATTTGAGTAGTTGAGACATAAAATGGGTATTGTTAGAAAAGTAAACATCTCCTCTATTACAGTAAAATAATGGTTCAATGTGTTTTAGTGTCCATATGATCGATTCTGTTGGACCCCAAAAATATAAAAAATAGCTGTTGAAACCGCTTGTCAGAGAGGAAGATGTGATCTTTCAACTTTGTTGGCGTGAGAGGCAGGGGGAGGGGCTTGGTGTGTGTGTGTAAACCAGGGTTCTTCAATTCCGGTCCTGGAGGGCCGAAACACTTCTGTTTTTTTATTTCTACCTGGTAGTTAATTGCACTTACCTGGTGTACCAGGTCTGAATTAGCCCCTGATTAGAAGGAGAGGATGAAAAACAGAGGTGTTTCGGAACCTCCAGGACCGGAATTGAAGAACCCTGGTGTAAACCATAGAGGAAGAAGCGAAGCGGGAGGTTTCACTCTCGTTAAAATATGTCCAAAATAAGGCGACTGCGTTTCTATGGGCTTATTTTGGACCTAAGCTTGCCTTCCCGCCTTTGGGACAACGACTCCCATTGTTAGGGCAGAGACATGCATCTCGTCATTATATACATTATCTCTGGTGTAAATGGGAAGGTGCAAACAGCACAGAGGAGCGAAGGAGACGAGACCAAAAATGCAACATGAGAACAAGCGGAAATAAACGCTCATAAAAACTAAAATTAACAAAACTTTGATTGTTGCGATACAGGCATTTGGAATATCGCGGAAAAAACATACATTCAAATGAATTGAATTAACTCAATATACCTGCATCTCTAACGATATGGGGGAGAAAAGGTTGGCCACTCACCCACTCGTCCAATGACAACATCCTCCCAGCAGCTAGCTAGCTAACTAACTAACAGTACACTCCATTTTTTTTTAGCTTGCTAAATTAAATAGCTAACTAAATAGATACACTACCAGTCAAAAGTTTGGACACACCTACTCATTCAAGGGTTTTTCTTTATTTTTTACATGGTAGAATAATAGTGAAGACATCAAAACTATGAACTAACACATATGGAATCATGTAGTAACCAAAACATATATTTATTTTTGAGATTCTTTAAAAAGCCACCCTTTGCCTTGATTACAGCTTTGCACACTCTTGACATTCTCTCAACCAGCTTCATGAGGTAGTCACCTGGAATGCATTTCAATTAACAGGTGTGCCTTCTTAAAAGGTAATTTGTGGAATTTATTTCATTCTTAATGCGTTTGAGCCAATCAGTTGTGTTGTGACAAGGTAGGGGGGGTATACAGAAGATGGTCCATATTATGGCAAGAACAGCTCAAATAAGCAAAGAGAAACAACAGTCCATCATTACTTTAAGACAAAGGTCAGTCAATACGGAACATTTCAAGAACTTTGAAAGTTTCTTCAAGTGCAGTCGCTAAAACCATCAAGCGCTATGATGAAACTGGCTCTCATGAGGACCGCCACAGGAATGGAAGAACCAGAGTTACCTCTGCTGCAAAGGATAAGTTCAGTAGAGTTACCAGCCTCAGAAATTGCAGCCCAAATAAATGCTTCACAGAGTTCAAGTCACAGACACATCTCAACATCAACTGTTCAGAGGGGACTGTGTGAATCAGGCCTTCATGGTCGAATTGCTGCAAGAAACCACTACTAAAGGACACCAATAATAAGAAGAGACCTGCTTGAGTCAAGAAACATGAGCAATGGACATTAGACCGGTGGAAATGTGTCCTTTGGTCTGATGAGTCCAAATTTGAGATTTTTGGTTCCAACCGCCGTGTTTTTGTGAGACGCGGTGTGCGTGAACGGATGATCTCCGCATGTGTATTTCCCACCGTGAAGCTGGTTTGGGCTTAGTGGGACTATAATTTGTTTTTCAACAGGACAATGACCCAACACACCTCCAGGCTGTGTAAGGGGTATTTTACCAAGAAGGAGAGTGATGGAGTGCTGCATCAGATGACCTGGCCTCCACAAGCCCCCGAACTCAATCCAATTGAGATGGTTTGGGATGAGTCGGACGGCAGAGTGAAGAAAAAGCAGCCAACAAGTGCTCAGCATATGTGGGAACTCCTTCAAGACTGTTGGAAAAGCATTCCAGGTGAAGCTGGTTGAGAGAATGCCAAGAGTGTGCAAAGCTGTCATCAAGGCAAAGGGTGGCTATTTGAAGAATCTCAAATCTCAAATATATTTTTATTTGTTTAACACTTTTTTGGTTACTACATGATTCCTACATGATGTGTTATTTCATAGTTTTGATGTCTTCACTATTATTCTACAATGTAAAAAATTGTTTAAAAAAAAAGAAAAACCCTTGAATGAGTAAGTGTCCAAACTTTTGACTGGTAGTGTAAGCTAGCCTATTAGCCATGTTAAGACTGACCTGTGATCATTGCCATTGCTAGTTTGATTGTATTGGCATTCCCAGCCTTAGTTACATTCGTCTGTTTTTTGCCCAAAATATTGAGTAATTGAAACTGAAACAGTGCATTCCGAATGTCTGGAGGAAGCAAACAATGTAACAGGCCAGCTTTGATTTAAAACCTGATAGCAATATTTGTTGGACTTCCAAGACATTTATTGGTGAATTATATTAGTCATGCATTGAACTGCATCCATCTATTCTGCCAACAATGTCTTACTGTACGTCATGGAAGTTATAGTCAAATAGAACCTATTGGTTTTGTAGCATAAACTGGGAATTTGATATTTTTTTATGATATCACGATTGTCTGTTTATTTCATAGCTGCAAAGTAGTTAAAACGCTGTCAGTTCCAATTTAAGGGACAGTGTTGCCTGGAGGGTACATGTGTTGTCCTGTACTTACATATCCGACGCACTCCAAGGCCTGAAGAAGTTCGTCTGCATCTCCAAGGTTGTCCAGTTCGTCAAACAGGCTGATGTCTGCATGAGCGAGACAGACACACACGTCTGATTCAACAGTAGCCTTACATTTTTACATTTTTGTCATTTAGCAGACGCTCTTATCCAGTGCATACATTTTTTATTTTATTTTTTCATACTGGCCCCCCGTGGTATTGAAAACAATACTTAGTTGCCTTCGCCAAAGACTAACTACCGTTTTCATCAAAGGCTAGTTTAACAGATGTCTTGACATGATTCAGATAGTTATCCACAACGTCAGGTCAGATAGCTAATCACAGTTTAGCCATATGGGGCTACAAAGAAGAATTCAGATTGTAAACGTCTTCTCTTAGTCATAGATATGGCTATTCACCTATTATTTACACATTGTTAATGCATAACTGATGGCCCACTTGTTTAATCAAATTAGGAAACATTCCATTTACGTTTTCCTGTTTGTAATAATTGGAATGAGCTTTAAAATCACTCAAACTAAATCAAAACTTGGTAGAAATGATAATGACCAACATTCATAGCACATTTTCTTTCCAGTTCGCTAAAAATCACCAAAATGAAAGCTAGACAGTCACAGAGCATCAAAAAAAATCCAAAAATGATGGATAGAAGACTATTTCTTTGCTAATTTTGACCATGAGGAAATATAACCCATTTTCAGTGTGGCCCTTCGGACCTGGTTGAAGACAGAATGCGACCCCCGGAGCAACATGAGAACCCTGCTGTAGCCTGTCCTGAGGAATCACTGCACTCATTGGGAACCCTGCTGTAGCCTGTCCTGAGGAATCACTGCACTCACTGAGTCTAGACTGCATCACCACTTATGTTACACAGACGTTAACACACTTGAATAATACAAAACGGCATGTAGAAATGTTGAAACTGTTAATTAATGTTTGCAAAACAATGTCCATTTAAGGCTAGAACACTTTCCAATGCAAGAAGGTACCGGTAGCTTCCAGCTTTGTTGGCTAACTTTCCTTGCTAGCTTACGGCTGAAGATAAAACCAATTCACTACCCTAGTACCTTGTTTGTGATAATATGCACACAATAAACGCAAAGTATTGCTGATTACAAAGCTGATTGTCACCAAAAACTTCATTCATTCACTTTGTCTCCACCAGTCAAGATCATCTTTGCTCGAGCCTCGGACTGACTGTGTGTAAATGTCATGGGTCTTAAAGCAGCAATCAGAAGCTGAAACGATATCAAAGCTTTGCCCCTGGTAGAGTGAAAAGCTGAGGGATGATCTCAAATTCATAGACAGCGCTATGGATGCAAGGACTGACCATCCATGATTTACAAAATAATATTTTTAACCATGTTTTGAGGCTATATAGTGTTTGTTTACATTTTCTTTGTTTACACCGTTGGATTAAAACAAGCTTGTATTTTGGGTTCTGATGGTGTGTGACAGTTGAACTAAGCTCATGAGGCATTTATAAGATATATTCTTTAAGAATCAATGGATACATATTATTAATTTATAAGTCCTAAAATGGATGTAGCAACTGCAGATTGCCCCTTTAAAGAGACGGTGCACACTTTTATAAAAGAGATTGCTTCTTCTATGCAAATGTTGTTGATCAGCATAATAAAATAAGTCCCAAATGGAAGGGAAACAGATTGCTTTTAATCTGTAGCCCCATGAAATCAGCTAAAACAAGCTCAATAACTCAATGCATGCACGCACTCCTATTGAATATGCATTCACCTGTACTGTGAATAGGCCTAGGCTACATCTTCATTTACCCAGTTTATCAACAGAAAAAAAAGATTTAAAAAAAAAAGGGAGAAAAAAAAGTAAACATTTAAATATAAAAAAAGATTACAAAGAGAAAAAAAAAGACAAAAATACAAAAATTTGTAAAGTGGTTATCCCACTGGCTATAAGGTGAATGCACCTATTTGTAAGTCGCTCTGGATAAGAGCGTCTGCTAAATGACGTAAATGTAAATGTAAACGTATCAATAGACTACAGATTTACTACGTGTTATCGCTGAAGAATACTGTCGGCTGCGACTGTGATAAAGCTGGTTAAAACAGTGTGCAGTAAGTGTATATTTAGCATTAGTGAAATTATTTCGATGTGATATTAAAGTAAAGGGCTTTATGTTTCTAGAACCGTATCGCAATTGAGAATCGATTCACGTTTCGATTGAGTATTTGGCTGTTCTGGCTGCCAGAGCCAGTCCACCTCTGAAAATAACACAAGGTTCTTGAACCTTAAGGCGAAGATTTTTTCTAACTAACCCAAGATAGACCACAGCCTGTCGTTTCCACTGTGAGAAAATTACACCTTGTGAGCAGAGACAAGCACGAGCTAGCAAGAGCCTATTGGCGCGTTCTAGCATGTATTTGCATATTTCCGTTAGGCAAAGGTCTGTGAAGTGTGCGTGTGCAATAACTCCATTCGCTCTTTCTAAACAACCAAATTTTTTTGCAAACTTTGGCAAAGGTAAAGTCTACAAAAATTAGTCCACTCTGTTCGTAACAGATTTTAGTTTTAGAAACACAAAACTGTATTGCGATCAAATGTTTCATCAATGAGTAAATTAGCAGAATGTCGGGCAAAATCCATCTCGCTCCATCTTCTCCCGCTGCCGGCCACTGGGCTTCCTCTCAACACCATATTTGGTAGTGAATGGAAACGCCAACCGGATGCTTCACATTTATACATCCGGTCAAATATCTGTCTCATTGTTTTATCTGTGCTTAAGGTGTAACAGTAGGTAGGCTCCTTAAGAGTACACATTGGGCTAAGGCTAGCCATATCTATGAGTAAAAAGAGGAGACGTTTTACAATCTGAATTCTTTGTATCTCTTCTAGCGAAGTCATAAACGAAATATATTCGTACAGGGCAGAGAGAATAGTTACAAAGAATTCAGATTGTAAAGAATTCAGATTGTAAAACGTCTTCTCTTTTTAGGCATCCTGGGGTCACTGACTTGAGGCAGTAAATTAGCTAGCCAGCTTGCTAAATAACTAACTAGCTACCATGTTAGCAACAAGCTGGCAAATGAAGAACACATTCATTCGATCGAGTATAACTATGGTAAACATAACCAACATGTTGACATTTGTGGAACACATTTCCGAGGAGTAACCAATATTAGACAAAAGTGGCTCTCTTTAACGCTACAGTAGCTAGCTAACGTTAGCCTTCAGTAAGTGACGCTTGCTTACCCCACTCGCCATCCTGGTCGATGGACATGGTGTCAGTTTCACTGTTCATCAGTTGTTGTTCTTGATTCTCGAAGTCTAACATTAAATCGGACGACATACTTCCTAGAATACATTAGTAACCGATTGTAAAGAAATAGGTTATGGCTTATTCGAATAGGTCAAAAGCTTAGCATCGGTTGCACATGTTACTGGATCGTATTCAGAGAAAACTGTTCTTCCTGTTCTACGGAAAAAAAAAGATACACGTCTTGCTTTACTGTAAATCTACGGCTCCCGAGAAGGATATATAAATCGCTCGGTGGTTGTAATGACGATATACACCATGAGGTTGCAGCAAAGCACAGGTTCTAAAAAGTATAATTTTCCTCAACAAGTGGGTGCCCACAATTAGCCATATCCGTCACCCCAATTTAAAGCAATTCTTTATATTACTCCTAAAGTGAAGGGACAGATATTTTGTCATCAGTAGGTTTAGGGTTAGAAGGGCATCATTGGGTTTAGTAGGGTTAATTTATGCAGAGAAAGCTGACGTTCTGATTTAATCGTCTAGCGACTTTTTGGCCTCTATTCATGCATTTAAATTAAAAACACAAATACACCCAAAAAACACAATTATTCACCAGTTTCACCCCAGTAGCTGCCTCAAATATGTTTCAATGAACAAAATAGCCCTAAAATGATATGGTCTACTGTAAGACTATATCTGGAAATGCTGTATTACACATTTGAAAGGTGAGACCATCAGCCAGCTCAAATAGCCCAGCTACGTTCCATAGCAAGGTGCCTTTCCAATCGATCAGACAGACAGATGGGGACCTGCCAGCCAGTCCAAGCTGGGCCGGGGCCCTGCTCCCTGGTATCAATAGAAGCCTGTTCTTTCCAGGTATATTCTCAGACCCTAGTAGTGATCCCTAAATGCCCCAGCTGCAGGTCACTCACATTGGCATAGTAAAGATCAGTAGCAAGTGCCTGCCTGGAATAATCTGTCCTGGGCAACTTGGGACAGGGAAGGCTTAACCTGAGGTGGTCTTCCTGATTACCTCCCTACGCATTGGACGGATCGGATCCGCTCTGTTCTATAAGAACAGCTCTGGATAAAGATATTTAACCTCTTTCTTTACTTGATCATTATGTGACAAAGTAACAAGACCATCAAAACCTAATCAACACTGTTAGTTGGTTGATGTAGTCTTGATAGTCTTGTGTTACTAACTGATAATGGGGCGGCAGGTAGCTTAGTGGTTAAGAGCGTTGTGCCAGTAACCGAAAGGTCGCTGGTTCTAATCCCCGAGCCGACTAGGTGAAAAACCTGTCGATGTGCCCTTGAGCAAGGCACTTAACCCTAATTGCTCCTGTAAGTCGCTCTGGATAAGAGCGTCTGCTAAAATGACTAAAATGTAAACAATGATAATGACATTGAATGGTAGTGGTAGCTGATTGGAGTAGCATGGTATGATGGGCAGTGTTTTAACCTGATGATAGGTCCAGGTCCAGAGGTAACCAGAACAAACAGGAGATTAACAGGTTACCGTAGTGCCAGAGGTAAGAACGGTTAAACGGAACATCTGTGTAAAATGGATTAGGGGCTTTGGACACATCCGTTGCTATGGAAACTGCCATGTCTAGGTATGATTCGTTTTTTCCATTAGATAATAACTGGTAGGTATATCTAAAGCACAACATAGTAATTACATTGTAATTTGCATAATTCATAACAGACCATTAATATACTATGGTCTTGATAACAGTCCGTTAAGACTAACTAATTTTAATTTGGGAGAAAAAACATCTGTGCAAATCCTACAGCAATCCTGCAAGTCCCATACAGGAATTCTACAGGAAAAATCCCACATGGTTTTTGTGGCTTCTTTCCCGTGAGACAACCTGCAGGGTTTCTGTAGGTCTTTGACTGTGAGTTAGTTAGTGGTTTCCTGTAATCCTTTCTGTTTATTTACAACAGGATCCCATGCTGTCTAAGTGAACGTAATACAGTTAGTTAGTTGTACCCGTACATGATGAGGAGATGAGGTGGGATAAACAGCACTAGGACGCATGCGACGGGCAGCTCCTTACAATCCTAGATTGGCTTCTGCTCACAACCTTCAAAAGTGTTCCAAGAAGGAGACTCAACATTGTGTCCTTTGAGACCGCCGGTTTGTTAGCTTCATGGATTTGCCATTGACTGTATTAGGTCTGTTCCCCTATTTTACTCTACACTCCTTGGTTGTTCCCAGAGACCCAGTGGAAAGCCAACCATTTCATGTTGCATGTGCCTATACCCCCTGTTCACTGGGGCTGGCCATCAGGGATGCTGGTGAAAGACATCAGCCAAACTTCAAGGAGAGAATATGGAGGTGGAGAGGGAGAAAGAAAGAAAGAAAGAAAGAAAGAAAGACGAAAGAAGAAAGAAGAAAGACGAAAGAAAGAAGAAAGAAAGAAGGAAGAAAGAAAGAAAGAAAGAAAGAAAGAAAGAAAGAAAGAAAGAAAGAAAGAAAGAAAGAAAGAAAGAAAGAAAAAGAAAGAACAGATCTGATTCATATGGGAATTTAATACTAGCCCAGCTCTATCATCAAGACTCATGAAAAAATTCTCATTCCTGGCATGCTAACCAGAGCACTTTCCCTGCCAACTGACCACATGGGGAAGGAAACAAAATGAGATAAAGATGACTCCAAGGAGAGGGAGAGGGAGAGAGAGAGAGAGAGAGAGAGAGAGAGAGAGAGAGGGGGGGGGGGGGGGGGGGGGGGGGGGGTAGAGTGGCAGAGAGTCCCTGGACTTGGAGAGAGAGAGAGAGGTGGACAAGAGCTAAGCAAAAAGAAAGACCCCTCCCTTCCAAACAGAATCCCGGTCGGACACATTTCATCTTTTGTGTTTGTGAGATGGATGATGTTCGTCACTGTTGTGTGGCATTGTCTCATCCCAGCAGCCACAGGGAGGGGGAACATTTATCATCTCAGGCCTATGTATGGGGAGGGGGGCAGGGGTGTAGGTGGTTGGGGGTAGGGGAGCAGGGGCGTAGGTGGTTGGGGGAGGGGAGCAGAGGGGTTTGATAAAGCATGATGGAGATGGGTTAATGAGGACAGAAGCAGATGAAGAGAACCGTTTCCCATGACTTCCCTTAAACACACTATAAGCACAGCCAGAGAGAGAGGGGAAAGAGTGTATTTTTGCAGGCATGCATTGGCTGTTTTGTGTTCTGGTTTCTGTGTTCTGTGTTCTGTATTATGTGTTCTGTATTCTGTGTTCTGTGTTCTGTGTTCTGTGTTCTGTGTTCTGTGTTCTGTATTCTGTATTCTGTGTTCTGTGTTCTGTATTCTGTATTCTGTATTCTGTGTTCTGTGTTCTGTGTTCTGTGTTCTGTGTTCTGTGTTCTGTGTTCAGTATTCTGTATTCTGTGTTCTGTGTTCTGTGTTCTGTGTTCTGTGTTCTGTGTTCTGTGTTCTGTGTTCTGTGTTCTGTGTTCTTTGTTCTGTGTTGTGTGTGTGTTTCCTTCAGCATGGTTCTATATGCTGTGCATGCGTAATGGAGGTTGTTCGGTGAACTAGGCTCATGTGATGAGTAACGTCTGCCTTAGACCTGAAGACTGTAAGATCCTCAAGCTAATGCATAGGCTTTAGTTCAGTGGGCTAACACATTCCTGACTCTCGGTTGGTCAGTGTTGCTCCTTCCCTGTTCTGCTTCTGTCCTCCACTATAAGAGCTGTGCTAGCAGGTGGCCCAGGTCTGTTGTGTTGGGTGAGGGATTAGGCTTTAGGACATTGTTTGGTGGGAATGGTGCTGTGAATACAAAGAGATTAGTCCAAAGGGTTGCTTCATTGACCATGTGTGTGTGTGTGTGTGTGTGTGTGTGTTTGGGAGGTGGCTTGGAATTTAGGTGATGATGGCAAAATAAAACAATGCATTTGCCAGTAGTCCAACACCCCACAGCTTCAGAAGTCCAACACCCCCCCATAGCTTCAGTAGTCCAACACCCCACAGCTTCAGTAGTCCAACACCCCACAGCTTCAGTAGTCCAACACCCCACAGCTTCAGTAGTCCAACACCCCACAGCTTCAGTAGTCCAACACCCCACAGCTTCAGTAGTCCAACACCCCCCCACAGCTTCAGTAGTCCAACACCCCCCCACAGCTTCAGTAGTCCAACACCCCACAGCTTCAGTAGTCCAACACCCCACAGCTTCAGTAGTCCAACACCCCACAGCTTCAGTAGTCCAACACCCCACAGCTTCAGTAGTCCAACACCCCACAGCTTCAGTAGTCCAACACCCCACAGCTTCAGTAGTCCAACACCCCACAGCTTCAGTAGTCCAACACCCCACAGCTTCAGAAGTCCAACACCCCACAGCTTCAGAAGTCCAACACCCCCCCACAGCTTCAATAGTCCAACACCCCACAGCTTCAGTAGTCCAACACCCCACAGCTTCAGAAGTCCAACACCCCCCCCACAGCTTCAATAGTCCAACACCCCACAGCTTCAGAAGTCCAACACCCCACAGCTTCAGAAGTCCAACACCCCACAGCTTCAGTAGTCCAACACCCCCCACAGCTTCAGTAATCCAACACCCCCCCACAGCTTCAGTAGTCCAACACCCCACAGCTTCAGTAGTCCAACACCCCACAGCTTCAGTAGTCCAACACCCCACAGCTTCAGTAGTCCAACACCCCCCCACAGCTTCAGTAGTCCAACACCCCCCCACAGCTTCAGTAGTCCAACACCCCACAGCTTCAGTAGTCCAACACCCCACAGCTTCAGTAGTCCAACACCCCACAGCTTCAGTAGTCCAACACCCCACAGCTTCAGTAGTCCAACAGCCCACAGCTTCAGTAGTCCAACACCCCACAGCTTCAGTAGTCCAACACCCCACAGCTTCAGTAGTCCAACACCCCACAGCTTCAGAAGTCCAACACCCCACAGCTTCAGAAGTCCAACACCCCCCCACAGCTTCAATAGTCCAACACCCCACAGCTTCAGTAGTCCAACACCCCACAGCTTCAGAAGTCCAACACCCCCCCACAGCTTCAATAGTCCAACACCCCACAGCTTCAGAAGTCCAACACCCCACAGCTTCAGAAGTCCAACACCCCACAGCTTCAGTAGT